GGCACCAGGTATCCAGCAATTTGCCCCATGAAGTGAGAAGCGTGTTTGGCTTTTGCCCGAAGTACACCCCAACGCGCTGGTGTTGCGGCCCTGCAGAATCACTGCAGCACTCACGCAATTCCTTGGCCATCCCCGGGCCCACCTTAGCCAATGCGTCCTCGAGCACCTCTTCCTCCCGCTCTATCCTAACACGACTGCGGGTTTACCACTCGCATTGCGTGGTGGCTTTGCGCCATTACTCTAACCTGGACCTCCGGGGCCTCCCACAGCTGGGTTTGTTGGGACGCGGCCAACGACCTTGTAATGCAGCGCCTCCGAGGCTGCCATGTTGTTTCCTTACGGCAGCCATGTGCCTTTTGGATGGCCTTCTCCCGGACGCCACGGTTCGCCTGGGGCTGCTCTTTCAGGCCAGTGGCTGCTGCCGGATACAGGGCTCCCGCTCCCGCGTTGGCTAGCTGCGTCTCCCGGGCCTAATCCTCAGCCAAGCGTCTGACTGCTGCCGTTTATCCTCCCGTCCTTCCCTGGCTTCCGCACCCCAGGGGTGGCTTCCATGCCTTCCAATCTGTGACTCAGGAAACCGCGCCACCATTCGCTTCTCCTCTTCCACCTGGTCCTCTTGGCCCTGGCTTGGGCTGTCAGGACGACCTTCCGACCCTTGGTACCCGTTGCCCCGATTCCGCCCTCACCGACGGGCCTCCACAACTGCACCTCATCCATTGCTGCTGTCCGAGTTATCTCCCCTTTCCGGCTCCAAGTCCTCCTCGCAAACACAACTTCCGGCCCCATGCACTCCGTCTGGGTGCTCCGCCACACGAGAATAATTCCGCTGGGGTTGGTCCTCCGGGCGGACACAACGCAACCTACCAGCCCAAGGCAACTCAGCCTGGGTACTTCGCTGCGTGAGAGCATACCCCCTGGGGCTGGCCTACCGGATAAACACAACGCCACCTACAGGCCCAAGGCAGCTCCGCCTGGGTGCTTCACTGTCAGCAAACCTTGCTGGTGCTGGCCTTGCGGATAAACGCAAACACAACCTACCGGCCCAAGGCAGCTCCGCCTGGGTGCTTCGCTGCGCGAGAGCAAAACCTTGCTGGTGCTGGCCTTGTGGATAAACGCAAACGCAACCTACCGGCCCAAGGCAGCTCCGCCTGGGTGCTTCACTGTCCGAGAGCAACACCTGCTGGGGCTGGCCTTGTGGATAAAACGCAACGCAAACTACCGGCCCAAGGCAGCTCCGCCTGGGTGCTTCACTGTCCAGCAAACCTTGCTGGTGCTGGCCTTGCGGATAAACGCAAACACAACCTACCGGCCCAAGGCAGCTCCGCCTGGGTGCTTCGCTGCGCGAGAGCAAAACCTTGCTGGTGCTGGCCTTGTGGATAAACGCAAACGCAACCTACCGGCCCAAGGCAGCTCCGCCTGGGTGCTTCGCTGTCCGAGAGCAAAACCTTGCTGGTGCTGGCCTTGCGGATAAACGCAAACGCAACCTACCGGCCCAAGGCAGCTCCGCCTGGGTGCTTCACTGCGCGAGAGCAACACCTGCTGGGGCTGGCCTTGTGGATAAAACGCAACGCAAACTACCGGCCCAAGGCAGCTCCGCCTGGGTGCTTCGCTGTCCGAGAGCAAACCTTGCTGGTGCTGGCCTTGCGGATAAACGCAAACACAACCTACCGGCCCAAGGCAGCTCCGCCTGGGTGCTTCGCTGCGCGAGCGCAAAACCTGCTGGGGCTGGCCTTGTGGATAAAACGCAACGCAACCTACCGGCCCAAGGCAGCTCCGCCTGGGTGCTTCGCTGTCCGAGAGCAACACCTTGCTGGTGCTGGCCTTGTGGATAAAAGCAACGCAAACTACCGGCCCAAGGCAGCTCCGCCTGGGTGCTTCACTGTCCGAGAGCAAACCTTGCTGGTGCTGGCCTTGTGGATAAACGCAAACACAACCTACTGGCCCAAGGCAGCTCCGCCTGGGTGCTTCACTGCGCGAGAGCAACACCTGCTGGGGCTGGCCTTATGGATAAAACGCAATGCAAACTACCGGCCCAAGGCAGCTCCGCCTGGGCGCTTCGCTGTCCGAGAGCAAACCTTGCTGGTGCTGGCCTTGCAGATAAACGCAAACGCAACCTACCGGCCCAAGGCAGCTCCGCCTGGGTGCTTCACTGCGCGAGAGCAACACCTGCTGGGGCTGGCCTTGTGGATAAAACACAACGCAACCTACCGGCCCAAGGCAGCTCCGCCTGGGTGCTTCGCTGTCCGAGAGCAAACCTTGCTGGTGCTGGCCTTGCGGATAAACGCAAACACAACCTACCGGCCCAAGGCAGCTCCACCTGGGTGCTTCGCTGCACGAGCGCAAAACCTTGCTGGTGCTGGTATGCGGGTAAACGCAACACAAACTACCGGCCCAAGGCAGCTCCGCCTGGGTGCTTCGCTGCCCGAGAGCAAACCTTGCTGGTGCTGGCCTTGTGGATAAACACGACCCAGTCTACTGGCCTAAGGCAACTCAGCCTGGGTGCTTTGCCGAGCGAGAGCATACCCGCTGGGGCTGGCCTTCCGGATAAACGCGACCCAGTCTACCGGCCTAAGGCAACTCAGCCTGGGTGCTTCACCGCACGAGAGCATACCCCCTGGGGCTGGCCTTCCGGATAAACGCGACCCAGTCTACCGGCCTAAGGCAACTCAGCCTGGGTGCTTCACCGCGCGAGAGCATACCCCCTGGGGCTGGCCTTCCGGATAAACTCTTCCTATGCTACTGGCCTAAGGCAACCCAGCCCTGGTGCTGGCCTTCCAGCTAAACGCATCCATGCCTACCGGCCCAAGGCCACTCAGCCTGGGTGCTTCACCGCGCACCCCCTGGGGCTTGCCTTTCGGATCAGCACAACGCAACGCGGGCGTTTCTCTCCCTGAGAGCATCACCCGGTTAAAGCCTACCCGGCCGTGGGCACTCGTTATTG